CGGAAGATTTTTTTTAATCCACTGTGAATATTTCACGGAGAATTGTGCAACGTTGCTAAACTGTTTTTTCACGCATTTTCATATCATCCAGAAAAAAAACAAAGTTAACAGACTGAAAACAGGAAAACATCTCAAGAAAACATCAAATCTTACCTACAGTATTCTTTGAAGCTTAACAAGACGGTACGATTTACGATTAAACATAATATTTACATCAAGTATAGACATTTGTAAATTTGACGTTAATTTTTTACTCTTTGGGGGTCACTCGCCCCCCTTTCCCCCACCAGTCCCATCCTTTAATCTTATCCTGATCCCTTCCCAGTGGTATATAGTCGTAATGGCTTGGCGCTTTCCCCCCTTCCAGTTCCCTTCCCTTGGTGTAATTAGATATTCCTAAATCTTACAACAACCCTATTTAGATAGTAGCTATTGTGACAAACCGCCAATAGTCAGAATTCGTACGTTCTTAGCTTTTAGATAATAGTATACTGACTAGTAAGGAATTCTTTTAAAATAAATGAAGCTGAATCACAAAAAAATATTCCTAGGCCTTGTATAGCACACATATGTACTACATTAGGCCTCAGATATCTTGTGTTAGGCCTAGGGAGGTTAGGATAGGTTAGGGTTAGTGTGTCAAAGTAACACAAGTAAAAAAAATAGTTTTCCAGTTGGTCCAACTGAATAGTTCAGATTTCGACTTTCTAATTTCGTTGTATGTCGGTATATGTACTATTGTCCTCGTCGTTACTATAAGTATTACCACAACAGGAAGATGGGCTGGAATCTTCAGAGGGGTAGCATAGAGGCTACAGGACACATATGCTATGACACATAGCCTACATAACACATAGACCAAGAACACATAGGATTCATGACACATAGAGTACAGGACACAGGCTACAGAACATATAGACTACCAGACACATAGGCCATAGAACATAAACTACAGCCCCTGCAAACTTCTAGGTGAACAGGTGCAACAGATGAAACGAAAATTAGCAGTACTACAGCTTAGGATCAGTTAACGCAAGGAGAGAAGCGTTTAGGGACGGTTAACGAAAAGAATAAAGAATTAACTTGTACTCTTAGGAGGGGGGGGGGGCATTGATAGTTATCAATCATTGGATTCCCGCCAAACACACACCGAAACTACGACGTTGGTACAACGTTCGAACAAGTTTTAACACCTCCTAACCAGTTATAACTACCAATATAGCAAGTTGTAACAACGTTCTAATACGTCATAAACACGTTAAACCAAGTTGTAACAACTTTATTACAAGTTGTAACAAGCGGAAAATAGAGACAGTTTCGGTTTGTGTTTCCAGGAAATTCTGCACCCATTTTAAACTATCGAGTATACATGTAAGAACATGTAGAAGAACATGTATGAAGAACATGAACACATGGAGAACAAGGTAAGAACATCTGGTATAGCAGCTTCCGGACCCCAGAGAGCTCAGGTTAACATCAGAGACGTTACCGGAATAACTGATTAATCTCATGAAGGACGCAATTATATGAAGCGAGGTCCCATTTTGTCATTTAGCCAAAGTTTCCAGGAAGATTTAATGCTTGTGTGGTAATGTGGTTATGTGACGAAGTGCGTGCTGAAGGGGAAGTGTTTGGAAATAATACTTCCTGTGTGCCGTGTGTGTTAATGTGGGTGAGGAGGAGAAGTGAGGAGGAGATGGGAGAAGGAAGAGAAGTGAGGGAGAGAGGAGAGAGGTGAAGGAGTAGGAGGTAAAGGCGTTGGTGGTGATGGTGACCCATGATCACTATTGCAGTCGTGACAGTGACGTGTGGCCAATAAGAAGTCTGTGATAGTGGTCAGTGCTCACCATTATCACTGAAACTATGGTAATGTCCTCGGGTTTACCAGGATGTTTAATAGTCGTCAGTAAGACCTTAATAGACTCCAGTAACAGTTTAATAGTCACCACTAAGAGTTTAATAATGATCTAAAGTCACTAATTAGAATTGTACTGAAATATTGTATTGAATTGTATTGAAATACGATAGAAAACAGGAAGGTTGAATTTGTCACTGCAGGCTAACGAGAACATGGCCATACATGACTAACCATTATTATTATTAGTAACATCTTTATTGACAAAATTAATTACAATTTTGACTAAACTGAGGATTTCGATTAAGTCTTATTAAAGCTTAGTTTCACACAACTATAGCTTTTGGCACAAACTATACAACCCTTCGTATGGTCTAGTAACTCTAAGTCTCTCTCTCTCTCTCTCTCTCTCTCTCTCTCTCTCTCTCTCTCTCTCTCTCTCTCTCTCTCTCTCTCTCTCTCTCTCTCTCTCTCTCTCTCTCCCTCCCTCCCTCCCTCCCTCCCTCCCTCTCTCCTATCTTGCCTCCAGGAGCCCACAGCGTCTTGGCCTGAGCAACAGTTTGAGATTTAACCACCTTGGGACAGAGAGCAAAAACATTTTTCTTAGGATTTCGGGGTTAATCTTGTTTATGGCCCGGTAAAGCTGTCTCCAAGACGGCCGTAGTAAGGTTCTGGACAGCCCAAGGATTAGGGCCATGTAGGACACAGGCCACAGTCGTCTGTTTAGGATAAGGGGGAGTCCTCTGCGTGTGTCTTACACTCCAGAGAGAGAGAGAGAGATGCTTATTTCCAGGCAGGATTAGGCCAGGTTGTTATTCCCTTGACAGAGGAGACAGCGTTATAGCCACAAGATATAGAAGACTGTCTTATCCACACTGTGAGGTGCGTTATCCACTCATGGTAGAAAATCCTGGTTATCCACACTGGGTTGAGCTTGTTTTCTCTGCCAGATGGGAGTTGTTTATGTCCATTCGAGCTTCTCGAAGCCTTAAGTACTTTCGTATATTAATACATCTTTAGAAGGAGTGCTTCTGAACTCCTTCTGAAGATGTATTAATATACGAAAGTACTTAAGGAAATTCTTGTTTCAATTTTCCTCCGTGGTCTGACACTGTCATATATATTATTCATATATAATGTCACTGTCATATATATTATATTGAGTTAATGATAACGGTTCCCAGATATCAGCTGGACAATGTTGAAATTGCAAAATCGAAATGATTAGTAGGATTTTTTCATTCAAAAAAGTAATAGATAAATGTATGGAATAAAGCAAGTTAAATAGATGAGTTTACGTATTGAAACGTAGGCAATATTTAGCTTTTTTCTTTAATAGATAAAAATATTTAGCTTTTTCAGTTGTTTTCTTCTTCAGCTTACAATAGGCATAAATTAACTAGTACAGAGGATATTAACCTAGTTAATCCCAGGAACTACACACCTCTTGAGAATTTGTTTGTTAGAATACACTAACAAACTTAATTTATATTCTCCAGAACGTATATAAATGGACTGAAGAGTATAACAAGTTAATATGTTAACTTTCACCATTATTATATTGCTATACCTTGGTGCTTATTTGGTTAAATTAGATTTTTATTATTTCATACTTAATGTTATTGGCTTAAGGCTTTATTTTTAACCGATATTTGCATGACCTCTCCATGGATAGCTATCAATAAACCTCAAACACACATTGCATATGGCATGTTCTTAATTTACAAGTTTCAACATTATATTTTTATTAAAATTTTAATAGCCGCCATCTTTCATAATATATCTGAAATTAAAACACGCCACGCGTATTTTTTAAGATAAAAGTATACATTTACATATATATTTCAGCCCTGTACTCCAGTAGTCTGTATCACGAGAGACATACAAAATATTCCTGCAACCGAAAACATTGTAATGGAACCCACCCAGGATGATAATGGAGCCCACCCAGGTGTTCAATGGTTATCTTGAGATGATTTCGGGGCTTTAGTGTCCCCGCGGCCCGGTCCTCGACCAGGCCTCCACCCCCAGGAAGCAGCCCGTGACAGCTGACTAACACCCAGGTACCTATTTTACTGCTAGGTAACAGGGGCATAGGGTGAAATAAACTCTGCCCATTGTTTCTCGCCGGCGCCCGGGACCGAACCCGGAACCACAGGATCACATGTCCAGTGTGCTGTCCGCTCGGCCGACCGGCTCCCTGGACAACAATCACTGCTAACAATCCTCATATCTCAAGCCTTTAGTCTGTTCTCATCTTTATTCAAAGTGATCGAGGGTTAAAATCGTTTAACTTATTCTCATAACAATTGCCGCACCTTCCAATTACTTAAAGAACCATTGGATGAGTGGAACGAGCTTCCTGACCATTCCAGGAAGACAGTATAGATTAGCTGCTCAATTCAGTCTAAATTTGAGAACTCAGTATAACCCGGTAGCAACTAATAGGAGGTTCAGAAGCCACTGATAACTAAGTGTTGAGTTCTGGTGCAATTAGCAGTTAAATGAAGAGATTCAGTATCTAATAAGGGTGAACAGGAGAAGGGTTCGATACTAGCCATAAGGAGACATCAGAAGCCAGTAACACATGCAGGCGATGAGTCACAATAACGTGGCTAAAGTATGTTGACCAGACCACACACTAGAAGGTGAAGGGACGACGACGTTTCGGTCCGTCCTGGACCATTCTCAAGTCGATTGTCACAGTAACACAGTCCGTCCTCCTTAGGTTTCCCAACGTCCAGAAAACGGTCAATTTAAAGCGTCCTCTAATAACGCACCAGAGGACCCAAAACAGAAAACGGGACAGTACGTCACTTTCGCCAGTCGCTTCCATTTTCTAGTACGACAATTTTTTCAGCCTTACGTGACGCATTCGAGCGAAAGGCGACGTTCTTTGTAAGAGAACAGGTTGTGAAGCCACCAGAGGAGGATTCAGAATCCACTAACAACCAACAGTAGAGTTCAGAAGCCCTTAACAACCAACAGAAAGGGGTCAGGCGGATTCAGAATCCACTAATAACAACAGAAAACGGTTCAGAAGCAAACTATCACCCAACGGAAGGTTTCAGACCCAACTAACAACCAACAGTAGAGTTCAGAAGCCCTTAACAACCAACAGGAAGGCCTCAGGAGGATTCAAAAGATGAAGTCGAAAAACAGGAGGCTTCCTGTAACAGGTATAGGAGGATATACGAGGAGTGCAGCTGGAGGAAGGAAGATAAACGGCTATTACCGCAGTGAAGGAAATGGAAGATCCCAACAGGGAGAATGGCTTCAGGGATCAGGGGATGAAGATGCAAGGTACAGGAATCTCACAGAAAAAGATTTCGCTTGATGAAACACGAGAAGATTCTCCTAAGGGGGAGAGGGGGAGATGTTTCGAGGGATGTTAGGGGGGAAGATGTTAGAAAGGGGGATTGTTAGAAGAGAAGATTGTTAGGGGGTTGTTAGAGAGAAGGGGGGGAGGGAGATGGGAGAGAAAAATATACCTGATGGATATACTGCTATTGGTACATGTATCTTTGAGCACTTATGCGATTGTGCACCGGAACGATTGTGCCTCCACGACACAGCTAACGCTTTACCCGAGTACCAGCACTCGGAGTGATGAGTTCGGAGTTGGGAAAGATGATAAGTCCTGAACATCATCATCAACTCGTCGCCGAGACGTACCAGAAATTAAGACGCTCACGCACACACACACACACACACACACACACACACACACACACACACACACACACACACACACACACACACACACACACACACACACACCTCGGGATCCAAGAGTCAATGCTCGATCCTGCAAGCACAAATAGGTGAGCACACACATACAGGATCTCGCGGCCGAGCGGTCAGGGTCCACGATTCACAATCTAGGAACACGGGTTTGATTCCAGCTCCAGACAGAAACAATTAGGGGGCAGAGTCCCCAGGTGTTCTGGGGTTGCATCCTGGGGTGTACCTGGGTGTTAAGCAACTGCTTATGGCGTTGCATCCTGGGGGAAGGTACGACCAAGGGAGGGAAGGGACCTTGAAGTAGGTCCAGGCTTCATGTCCCCAATAATAAGAAGTATTATTAAACACAGGTCCTTGAGGTCTGATGATTTCCTCCCCTTATCATAACCGCTGCCTCGTCTGATGGAACAATATTCTTGCAGCTCAGATCAATTTGCTTGAGATTGATAGCTATTTTCTCAAGAGGTGTTGATGCAACATGCAAGACAATGCTTGCAAGTCTTGCTAAATGCCTGAGTGAAAGGGAGAGGTGTGTTTACCTGGCTGTATTACACAGCAGTGCAGACCCTTCTCTTGATTGGCCACCACGTACACGATACAGAGTGCTAACGTAACCAGAAACTTACTAACCCAAGCTACCCACCTAACCTAAAACGTCGATATTTAAATGAGACGACCTAGTTGAGTGGCTGGGTTGTTTGTGACGCCTGGAGGGCGAGCTCCAGCTCTCTGTACCCGCCTGCCTGCTGGCTTGTTTGTAAAGAACGTCGACTTCAGCACTGCCTACATAAAAAAAACGTCGTAATACTGACGCTTCTGGTTGCGTAAAACCACCTCAAATTTGACGCTCGGCAATTCGTAAGAACGGGGGGGGGGATAGGAAGGAACTATGAGGAGAAAGCACCAAGTCATTACGACTATATAGCACTTGGAAGGAGTCAGAATAAGGATTTGGGATGGGACGGGGGCGGGGGGAGGAATGGTGTCCAACCACTTGGACGGTCGGGGATTGAACGCCGACCTGCGTGAAACCAGACCGTTGCTCTACCGCTGCCTCGTATTCACCCTGTCCAACAACTACATCTCCAATCTCTCCAATAAACTCCACCCCATACCGGCACTTGGGGGAGGGGGGTAGAGGGTATAGTTTGTCGATGAAACCGACATAAGACATCTTAACTGTGGCTTCTGGAGGTCGTAAGTCACGCTCAGCTGGGAGCGAGGCGGACAGCCACCTCTCACCAGTACACTACGCTTATTGCAAGCCAACATTGTCGCTTGAACCAGTCGCTAGACAAACGGATATTGTAATTTGCAACTGACATGACTCGGGCGTGGATCACCTAAGACTTTCAGTGCCAAACTGGTACTCCCCAAGAAAGGCTTAAAGTTTCATTTGGCCAGCAGGTATAGGTGTCTCTGGCAGCCTTTTCTTTATCATGGGTGCTGGTGGCTTAGGAGGTAGAACTGCGGACTGCTGCTTGTGTGGTCTAGGGTTCAAGGCTCCAGTGGTCTAAGTGAATAAAATGTTGTTCTCGATATGGTGATTCAAATAGCTTCGGCTATCACCTCCTTTTGACCGGTCGTGATGGTCGAGTGGATTAAGGTGTCCTATACATACCAATTGCGTTGCTCCTGGCAGTATGGGTTCGAGTCACTTCTGGGGGTGTGAGTTTTCAGTTGCATATAGTCCTGGGGACCATTCAAGCTGGTTCGCATATATATATATATATATATATATATATATATATATATATATATATATATATATATATATATATATATATATATATATATATATATATATATATATATATATATATATATATATATATATATAATATATATTTCACACTGAGTAATTTAAACAATCCAGCTTAGGCTTTAATCCATTAAGGTTTGAAGGATTTAATAGTTCATGAATATACAGTCAATTACATTAACACTTCATGTATTTCAGATAAGCATGAGCCCCAAAAAAAAGGATGTTTGGAGATTGCGTCTGTCTCCCGTATTGACAGATAATACTGACAGACTGTGTTTTAGCACATGCCGTTGATAGATATTATTGACAGACTATTGACGGATGAGATTTTCGGATAGTCGGACGCTCCTGTCGGACAGTATTGACAGACACTATTTGCTGGACATTATCTGTCACCAATAACGTAGTATTGTCGGACAAAACCATCAGACACATTGTCGACACATTGTGTTATACCATATTCCTTTATGTTATAAGTTATTCCTTTGTGTTATAAGTTATTCCTTTTGTGTTATAACTTATTCCTTTTGTGTTTTAAGTTATTCCTTTTGTGTTATAAGTTATTCCTTTGTGTTATAAGTTATTCCTTTGTGTTATAAGTTATTCCTTTGTGTTATAAGTTATTCCTTTTGTGTTATAACTTATTCCTTTTGTGTTTTAAGTTATTCCTTTTGTGTTATAAGTTATTCCTTTTGTGTTATAAGTTATTCCTTTTGTGTTATAAGTTATTCCTTTTGTGTTATAAGTTATTCCTTTTGTGTTATAAGTTAATAAGTTATTCCTTTTGTGTTATAAGTTATTCCTTTGTGTGTTATTCCTTTGTGTTATAAGTTATTCCTTTGTGTTATAAGTTATTCCTTTTGTGTTATAACTTATTCCTTTTGTGTTTTAAGTTATTCCTTTTGTGTTATAAGTTATTCCTTTTGTGTTATAAGTTATTCCTTTTGTGTTATAAGTTATTCCTTTTGTGTTATAAGTTATTCCTTTTGTGTTATAAGTTATTCCTTTTGTGTTATAACTTATTCCCATCCACCATTATCAAATAAAGCTAAATGTTATAAGTTCATAAAAAATCTAATTAAAAATCCCTATCATGGCTTCTCCAAGAAAACGTTTATTTTAAGGCAGTTCCTCTTAATTTTGTAGCGAAACATTATACATATCAAGAGCGAAAGCGAGACTTTGAGTCCTGCTCGACCTGAAGACATTTACACGAAGAGACTTTCATCTTGACAGACTTACAGACAAAGACATTTACACGAAGAGACTTTCATCTTGACAGACTTACAGACAAAGACATTTACACGAAGAGACTTTCATCTTGACAGACTTACAGACAAAGACATTTACACGAAGAGACTTTCATCTTGACAGACTTACAGACAAAGACATTTACACGAAGAGACTTTCATCTTGACAGACTTACAAAGACATTTACACGAAGAGACTTTCATCTTGACAGACTTACAGACAAAGACATTTACACGAAGAGACTTTCATCTTGACAGACTTACAGACAAAGACATTTACACGAAGAGACTTTCATCTTGACAGACTTACAGACAAAGACATTTACACGAAGAGACTTTCATCTTGACAGACTTACAGACAAAGGTAGTGTTCGAATCACGTGTTTGGCCTTTTAACCCTTTAACCTTCTTTGTATACTATTGACAGGTACTTTTGACAGACACTGAAGACATAGCTCTGAAAACAGACGGTACCTCTGTCAAAATTGATTAACTATTGACAGAGGGGGGGGGGTATTGTTGCATATGACTGATTGACGGGTATCGTAGCATACCCTAGTAGACGGTACTGGAATAGATTATAATATAATAGATTATATTGGAAGATGTATAACTGATTGCTCTTCCTCATGTCTTAAGGCTAGCGACCTCAGTCAGAGAGAGAGAGAGAGAGAGAGAGAGAGAGAGAGAGAGAGAGAGAGAGAGAGGAGAGAGGAGAGGAGAGAGAGAGAGAGAGGACAGACAGACAGACAGACAGACAGACAGACAGAGAGAGAGAGAGAGAGAGAGAGAGGAGAGAGAGAGAGAGAGAGAGAGAGAGAGAGAGAGAGAGAGAGAGACAGTCACTATAACAAGTCAGTCAGTAAAGGTTGACCTCTTATCTATACAACATCAATTAGCGACAATTTACTTAGGCTAACAACATTACCACCCAGGCCTGTTACGCGCGCGCGCGCGCGCGTGTGTGTGTGTGTGTGTGTGTGTGTGTGTGTGTGTGTGTGTGTACTCACCTAGTTGTACTCACCTAGTTGTGCTTGCGGGGGTTGAGCTCTGGCTCTTTGGTCCCGCCTCTCAACTGTCAACAGGTGTACAGGTTCCTGAGCCTATTGGGCTCTATCATATCTACACTTGAAACTGTGTATGGAGTCAGCCTCCACCACATCACTTCCTAATGCATTCCATTTGTCAACCACTCTGACACTAAAAAAGTTCTTTCTAATATCTCTGTGGCTATGTATGTGTATGTGTGTGTGTGTGTGTGTGTGTGTGTGTGTGTGTGTGTGTGTGTGTGTGTGTGTGTGTGTGTGTGTGTGTGTGTGTGTGTTTTCACTCTCCTCGTGTGTTTATATTCCATCTACATATTCCCCAATTCCTACCCTTTCCCATTTAATGTCTACCTTTCCATCCCATTTTCGTAAACACTACCATTTCCTTCGTCGTCATTTGATTCTGTTCTCTCAATTCTCCTCTTTCTTAGCTTTCTTAAAAGCTTTCTTAAGCTTTTCTCTCAGTAGCATTTCGTAAGCTTCTCAGTAACTTATGTC